TTGGTATGCTCCGGCCGGGGATCGAACCCCAGACCTTCCGCACCCTGGGCGGTCTTTGTTTTAGTCCCTTAATGCCGAGCGCCAGCCAAGGCAACAATTGCCATCTCTTAACATTTTTTGTATGACGCGGCCGGGGATCGAACCCCAGACCTCCCGATCTTCTATTATGCGTTAGGGCCTCACTGCTACCTTGCTTCTGAATTTTAACATGGACGTCCGGTTGTTGAAACTTAGGTGACATGAACATGCTAATATTACGAAAACCCTATATTTTTCGCACTTTACAGATGTAGTCGTGAAACAGTATCTTGTGTTTTGAGGCTCGTGTCAAGGGGCTGGCAGCACCAACATGACGTCATCAAACTTACGTCAACAATGATCTTTATAATGCGTAAACAACATGAGCATTACGTCAACATTATTTTAAAAAATCCAGAAACTATTATTACGCGTTTATCGTCTTTCTTGGACCAAAGATAATATATTTTTTATGAAAGCTATATATAATTTTAATTCGAGGTTAAACCTTTAATTTACGCATATGATTATTGGGATAATTTAACATTCGTCGCATCAGTTTCACACTAAAGGTTTAGTCGTCTCGACACTGCTTTGACATTATTTAAAAAAACAACTAAAGACAATGTACTACATCCTGGAACTTGGAACTGATCTGTCTATTTATCACTTAGTTGTTTAACCTTGACCAGACATGCTATTGAAGTGCATGTTGTACATGCATGTACTCGATATCGAGTGATAGGCGAGTGCGTTAAGTTTACGAAGGTGCAACGTCAAGATAATATCGCAAAGGGTACATAGTTTTATAAGGAAGGTTAAATATTTGGCGTGTGTTGATAAGGGGGTACACTAACATCTAGTCTCTGAAATAAACATATTTTACACCAAAAAAAACCAGTTGTTAAATTATCTAATAAAATAAAACAAAAAGGAGCCCAGAGACTCTCTTCATTTTCCTGTTACTGCAGTAATCTAGACTTGCTCACTATTGTAGACTTGCATGGGCTGTATTATATATATGTATTTCAGTGAGTGAGTGAGTGAGTTGGTTTTTACGCCGTTTTTAACAGTATTCCAGTTATATCACTGCGTGTCAGCTTAATGTGGGAGGAAAGCCCAAAGTAATGCAGGTCTCAGACGTTTACCACTTCGGTGAAACCCACGAGCACGGGTATGGTGCTGACAAATCTAGAAACATAATTGGGGCGAACCGGGATTCGAACCCACAATCATAGGTTTCTGGCGTGCCCAAGGGACGCAACTCTGCACAGCGAATCGCGGCGCCTTAGACGACTGGGCCACCCGTGCCCCCTATTTATTTCAGGGTCTGTGGGGCAGACTAATAAGGGGTCAGAGACGGGGTTGTGGTGTGTGTGTGTGTGTGTGTGTGTGTGTGTGTGTGTGTGCTGCGTCCGTTTTGTAATAATGACATCAAGTTGCAGGCGACGTAGTCTTTGCGAAACTCCTGTAGGGATAGCAGGGTATCATTGTGACCGTTTGACTTGGAGTAGCCTCCCTTGTTTGTAGCAGACGACCAAAATGACCATGGCCAGCGTCGTTATGTACTGTATTTGTTGACAGCAAGCATAATAAGGATGAGTAAACAATGTGGTACCGGCGTTTTCATATCACATACACATAACCCCACATCAAACTGACAGGCCCCGATAAAGGTATATTTCATGTGAGTGAGTGAATTTGCTTTAATCATGCCGCGGCTGCTTTGAACAGATTTTCAGTTATATCCTGAGGTGTCTGTTTGATGTTGGAGGCAAGCCGAAGTCTCAGACTTTTACCACTTTTTTTTAAACCCACGAGGACGGACGGGTATGGTGCTGATGAAACATAAAAAATGACCTGTGCAAACTTAGGATTCAACTAATGGTCAGAAGTTTCTGGCACGTGTAAGGGACATAACTCTGAACGGTGAATTGTGATGCCTTAGAGGAGGGGTCTGCCCTTACCCGATGTTTCACAAGAGCGCTGAAATGCAAATAAGAAAGTTGAAAAAGTGTGACAGTTCATGCCCTAAGTCATATTAATGGCTGATGTAAACTTATGCATTCAATCTTCAGTCATGAAAAGGTATGTAGATAGGTCATTAATGATCATATCATAGTGACTTGAGTCATCAAGAGATGATATATCCTAATTTAGTCTTAAAGGTTAATTCATCAGATGAAATAAAAAATATCCCCAGTCATCAAAAGGCACCTCTGCACCGCTAGACTGATCTGTATACCAAGTTTCATCAAGATATATACAAGTTCTGCTCCGGAAACAAAAAACGGATGGAGGAAGGATGGATCATTTCTGGAGTGAGTGAGTGAGTTGGGTTTAACGCCACTTTTAACAGTATTACAGTCATATCCCGGTGTGTCAGCTTAATGTGGGAGGAAAGCCTGAAGAGATGCGGTCTTAGACGTTTACCACTTCGATGAAACCCACGAGCACGGGCATGGTGCTGACAAACCTAGAAACATAATCAGGGCGACCCGGGATTCATAGGTTTCTGGCGTGCCCAAGGGACGCAACTCTGCACAGCAAATCGTTGCGCCTTAGACGACTGGGCCACCTATGGCCCCGATCATTTCTGGAACCAGGGGGATGAAAGAAGGACACAATTTTAACTATGTATGGTATCTTTTGTGACCAATACCTTGGTGTACCAGTGCATCAATCCAGCCTAAGCACCTACTACATGCTTGATTCTCACTATCAGAGTGGTATGAAATACAAGAAACACAGAGTGGTACCATTTTGTCTTTTATTTCAGCTTTTTGTATGAAATTAGGGAACTGAGGGGTTAATTATTGTAAAATATATATAATTGCAAATATGTGACACATAGACCCGTTCATCTGTTGAAAGACCACCCGTTACCAGCTTCTCAATGAAAGCCCTATGTCAGCAGTTTGGTAAGGACTTCACAACATATCACTGGTTAACCCTCTCAGATACAAGCAGCACTGACAGTATATATACAGGATTTCATACCTCTGAGAGAGTTAACCTGCTTCAATTTAGCAGTCAATGAAATGGGATACCACTTTAGTTTTATGGACAGGAGTTCTGTCAATGATTCACCATGAAAGCAAGCAATCTTTGGCATTGGAAATCATTACCAAACTGACCACGTTTCATAAAATAATCTCTTATTTACACCATCTGTTTCTTTTTTCACAACTGTTCAACAAGATACAAACAACATACATGAGGTGTTTATATACATGTGCAAATGGGGATAGGCAAAAAACTGATCCAAAATAACCAAGGATGCACTGAGCATCCCCGGGTGTCTACAAGCTTATGTACAGCCATGTCGTACAGTAGCCTTGCCCATCCAGACTGGGCAATCTCTGGACAATCAAGTCATTGCTATGTTTCCTTTCCGAGGATTCATTAAACATGGTCTTGATTTTAATCCAGCTCTCTGGATTTTGAAGGATCCTCCATATCTTTACAGAAAAGGTCTGATGAGCAACTACTGACATAAGATACCATATTATACCATGTCATTACATTTGTCTACCTTGAACGATACCTAATCACTACCTATATTGTATCTCCCATCCTGCTCTGTTCAACAGACAGCAGTGCTGTATCTACCATCTAGGTATGAACAGCAACTATCTACCATTCATATCTGAACAGACAGCAGTGCTGTATCTACCATCTAGGTATGAACAGCAACTATCTACCATTCAGGTCTGAACAGACAGCAGTGCTGTATCTACCATCTAGGTATGAACAGCAACTATCTACCATTCATATCTGAACAACAGTGCTGTATCTACCATCTAGGTATGAACAGCAACTATCTACCATTCAGGTCTGAACAGACAGCAGTGCTGTATCTACCATCTAGGTATGAACAGCAACTATCTACCATTCAGATCTGAACAACAGTAGATGTGTCTACCATCACAGTGTGAAGAACAAATTCACACTGTCTTCCCTTCTTACCACAACATAAGCTGAACCTGAATAGCAAGTGACTTTATCCTACCTACCCACCCACAAAATATGCAATGGTCAGATCCTAAGCAACTTCCCAAGGCAAGGCAGTTAACTGTCTGTAAAAGTCCAGTTTCCACCCTTGTTGAACTAGGCTGGAATTTCGGAGATCAATCATAGCGCCACCAGTGGCTTTTATGAGTTAAGTCCCTTATATGTCACGCCTATTGACCAATCAGATTCCATCTCTCATTTCACTTGCTTTTGCTTTAAACAAAATGGCAGCGCCCAGTCAAAACAATCTTTTCAATAATCAAGATCTTTTTTAAAATAAAACAGGTTTCATCTTGCGAAGTGCATCAAAGTGCACCTTGATAAAAAGTTAAAAGGTATCTGTCAATGCCATGCCATACACATGCTCTGCAAATCCTGCAATTGACCAAAATCTGCACAGCAGTCGCCATGTTGTTTATTTCATGTTGTTTATGTCAATTTCATTAACCGATTTTGTTTGGACTCTGCATAGACTTGTTAGTCCAGCCAAAAGAATAACTCCATAATTCCAGTCTAGTTTGGCAAGGGTGGAAACTGGACTTTTATAGTCCATTAATTCCCTTGCCTCAGGAAGATGGACCCTCAGAGTTCCCCAAGCTTACCATGAGAGATACTGGATGAATGGATGAAATCTACACAAACCTTAAACTAAACGTCTCAGCCTTCTCAGTTGAAAGAAGATTTAATACAGAACAATCCTGAGATTAAGTGGCTGGTGACACGGAGCTGTTGGCATGCATTAGAAACATGGCTGTGGTACTCTACAGATGATATCCTCGCTCTGTACACCAGCACTATCAGCACTATCATCCTACGTAGTGTAAAAGTTAAAGAACATTCCATACATGAACTAGAAGGGAAACTTGGATAACTGTAACAATTATATAAACAACACCAGGCAATACTGTAGTTTTATATTGGTTTACAGATTTGCCCAAACCCCCAAATGTTGTGGGGAAATTAATCTAAAATGACTCTTACTTTATTTCCACCCCCCACCTTCCAACCAGAACTTCCACAACACAAATCTGTAAACCAAGAAATAAACAGCCTGGCCTCAAGCATGGCTTCTAAATACAACCGCTAGATATTGTGATACTAATGAATCCACTAATAATGTTTAAAACAGACACAATGTTGGCATCTGGACCCACAGCAAGCAACTTTGATCCATCTAACTTTCTTGCTCCCTACCTCTTTGTATCTATGCACAATAACCTCTCACTGTTACAACCCTATCACATTAACTTCCCATTTCCTGAGACATTTCAGAAACTGTCTCTTGCAGCCCATTTTGCCTTTCTCCTCCATAGAACACTGCCTTCATATCCCACTGACAGGGCCAGCCTTGTCTGTCACGGACTCAGCTAATACCGTTGATAAACCTTACTGCCAACTAACCACTCCAGTACAGTGGAACCCTAGTTATCTGGACATCTGTTTTTTACAATACATGTCTGCATCAATGAGTATCTGGATATCGGAATCTGACTGCAGTTGACAGTTATTGTGAAGCATGTGAAGACTGTCACTGACGCATTATTGATCTATTAATTAACTTCAATAACCTATGTTAATTCTCTGTGTAAAAATACCATCTTCACCCTGCTCCATTCACAGGCTCCTTATTGCAAAGACACAATGTCCCACAGTTTGATGATTAAACGAACCAGTTTTAGGTTTATATTTCATGACCTTTCACACTAATTATCACCATCAAGATCAAGTAGCCAAATTGCCAGATAACAAGTTTGTTTAAATTGCTCAAGCATCATTTTGAATTATTATAATACTGAAAACAGGTATATCTGATGTCCAGGTAAGTAGTCTCACTGTAGTTAGCGATTTCCTAGTTAGAAGCTGACCACTCGCTATTCTGGGGGATGATTTTTTTAATAAATTAACTTTGAAAAATTCTTCAGTGGACATGCTGGATGTGCTGACAAAAAGAGAAATTGCTTGGCTTCTCTTTTCAGAACACAACGTTGTTGCGAAGCAGTTACCGAAATAATGTCTAGGATCCGACACTACCCACCCCCAACCAGGATATCACATGGTCAGCCCCACTGCTATTACTCATATCCAACACTGCAAACATTCTCGCCCACTACCTAGCAACCCACACAAGAATAACAATAAAGATATCTGTGATACAGTGTCATATTTGGAAGGACAAATCCATAGAAATAACAAAATGTCAACTTTGTAATCATGCACAAATGTATAAAAAAGAGAAAGTTAAATGCAACAACAAGGCCTAATGAAAAACATTTTTGATACATAAAACAAATGCATTTATGATGCAGTTCTTACATCTGCCTACAGATGGAGAGATTGTTGTCATGGAAACGAAAACAATAGAAATATTTGGAAATTTGTGCTCTTCTTATCTTAAGATTTTATAGTTCTAGATATCCCTGTTTTCTAATATTAAGAAGCACGCACTTCTGAAAGTATTCTTTGATGATGTTTCTCTTTTTCATCAGTTGTATTGTTACTAGGATCTCACAACACCAGAACTAGACAGATACAACATACACAATGAGACAATATCATCAAATATACCATTTTAAATATGCATAAAATAAAACAAAAACAATCAACAATAGTCTGTACATAGTTTTATTGAGATATATAACGCTCAGTGTTTCCCCCTCAATACAACTGTATGAAACACTGACTAGTGACGACAATCATAATGAAAATGTTTTTCTGTGAAAATAGATGATATCGATGAAAACACTGCAGCGCATAATAGATCATATCGAACATACAAATATATCCATACAAAGTTATGTCACAAAACAAATAACCAAATAACAAACAAATAATGGGATTTCATACACAGAGGCTTACAACAAATGTCTTTGGATGGCAAAACATGGACAAAGTAAACAATGCACATATAAACATGAATGTTGAATGACAAACAATTAAGTTACCATGGTTATCTGATCATTGCTTACTTTTGTAATGAAAGTAGCAATTTCTAAAATGGCCAGGTGAATCTAACATTTGATCATTCCAAACTACACACAAGGTCTATGATACAATAAACCAATAGAGTTTCAATGCACAAACTGCGACCTAAACCAAAGATGGTGTATAGATAACTTGGTTAGCTACAAACAATTTGTTTGTGTGACAGCTGAATAAAGATTTAGTCATCCAAATTGATTTTGTCCAGCTGTTCAATTTCCTGCATAAAAATCAATATTTCAACAAAGGCATTGATACTAAAATACTTCTGGCATCTTGAAAGAAGATCTATAAGTATTTCACACATAAAAATAGCAATTAAGAAAAATAATCCAAAAACAAGAAAAAGCTGCCAAAATTTCAGATAGGGCATATCCATAAATGCATTGAAATAAATTATGTTTACAAATAAACTAATACATAGCAAACTGCATTTTTACTTGAGTCAGACTATTATTGTATTGGAGACGTGACCACGTCACTGGATGAAATCACAGCCATTCTCCGCTGACCACTTTCTTCAGTGAAACTGTAGCATCAATCTCATGGTTTGAAATAGTCACAATGTCAACAGTCGTAGAGGCTCATTTCTTCCTGATTGGTAGCCCTCCAGACGGATCCCCTTTCTCATACGTGGCGATCACCTTGTTGACGAAATCGGTTGTATTGCCAGCAATCATTTCTTCTGTAAAATAAAATAAACAAATTATCAGGCTGTCATTCTTGATCAACTTTCATTTTGTACAGAGAAAGCTATGTTGTTTCTGTTTACCGGTATGTCCTTTACCTATCATGCCTATGACCACACTTAAATATTCTGTGTTCAGAGATGTTGGACATACAAATACAACACATACCACACAAAATCAATAGACCCGTGAAGATCTGGGGTAGAATAGGTCTACAGCAACCCATGCTTGCCATAAAAGGAAACTATGCTTGTCGTAATAGGCCACTATCAAGATCTAGTGGTCAAGCTTGCTGACTTGGTTAATGCATGTCATCGATCCCAATTGCGTGGATCGATGCTCATGGATCGACACTCACTGGATTGTCTGGTCCAGACTCGATTATTTACAGACCGCCATCATATAGCTGGAATATTGCTGAGTGCGGCGTTAAACAACAAACACACACACACACAAAATCAATAGAACAAAAACATAATTCAGGCTTTCTTGTGTTGAGATGTGCCCTATCAAATTCCTGACAGTCTCATATATCAATTTCAGCATCAATTTCTTACTTCATCAATAGTTTTTTGAATAAAAAAATATCATCATATTCAAATGCTGCATTTCTTGTCCAGAATTCCCTAATTAATTTTTTAAGTCGCAAAACATTTCTTGTTCTAAATATGATATTCATTGCTTTTATTTCTTAGCTAAATGGCAGTTTGACATTTAACTCACACTTTCTCTAAATAGATTAGTTGTAGCTCAAACAGACTTGTTGTAAATCGAGTGCATATTGACTAAAGCAAGACAGAATAATTAATATTCTGTCACGATTTCCGAAACACTTATTTCCTGCAGCACAATTCCTCCCCCAGTTTCTAAATTTAGCCTGACAAGCACAGACTAATATAATTCCGCTTTGCAATCATTGTCTGCAGACAAAGATTAAATACTCCTACAGATATTGTGAAATCATGAATTCGGACACAGACAAATATTGCGCAGCATCAGATAGTATTACTTCTCGTACATGGTTGGTAATAAGAAATATTTCTACTGAAATAAACGCTTGTTTGTGTGTTTGTAACTACTTATTACCTACATGGTCAAGCTGCTACCACACACAATCCCCCACACCTTGCATTCACTCAATACAAAAGCAAACACAATCTTGTCACCAAAATGGTTTCTATCTAAATTTTAATTTGTCAAAAAAAACAATGTTGATTCAAATACTGCAACAGACTGATATTTTAAGACGATTTTTGTCATAAATGCATTTTAAACCATACATTTTCAACATGATGATATATTGCCATCATACAGAGAATCACTTACTGAGATGGGTCTTGATGAGCTCCTCAAGTGTCTCGACAAGTGACTGTTGCGGAGTTATCTCCTCCTTCTCTAGGAGGCGCTTCTTGAGGTCTGCCTTTATGTTCACCATCACTTCCATCAGCTGTCCTGTAAACCACATCAGCATATACTACATGCATCACATCAGGGCCCTCTACCTAACACTCCTACAGGACTGTGCAGAGCTAGTATGTGTAGTTACAATGTGCATGTAGCCGCATCATGACACTCAAAGTGTGGTACTGTGAAACTCTTTCTTCTTGTTGATATTTACATTATTTTTGCAAGTAACATTTACAGTTTCATTATACATTGTTTCTTATTCCTTATCAGGCTAATTTCATCCAAGACAAATCTTTAAAAATGACCTGAAGAGAAATTTGATAGACTTTGGGGATTATTGCAGTAACATCATAAGTCCAGCAGTGTATCAACATGATCAAGCAAGGGGTCATCACACTCTGGAATACTTTCTTTGTGTGTTGTTTAACGCCACACTCAGCAATATTCAAGCTATATGACGGCAGCCTGTATATAATCGAGTCTGGACCAGTGATTGACATCATGAGCAATTGGGATACGATGACATGCATTAACCAAGTCAGCGAGCCTGACCACTCAATCTTGATAGTCGCCTCTTACGACATGCAAAGTCGCCTTTTACGGCAAGCATGGGTTGTTGAAGACCTATTCTGAATACAGAATCAATTTTCAGAAAACAATTTTCTGAGAGACTTACTGTGTTCTTTTTCCAGACCAAACAACTTGACTTTGTTAGCTTCATGCTGAGCCTTCTTCTTGAGCCGACATGCCCTGTAAACGACAGATCACCATAAAAACAGTGCCACAACATGACTAAACAACAGAATAAACAATTTTACATCATCACAAGTGAAACATCAAGTTTACCATCATAGTACAATATTCTGTGTCCCAACACAGCAGCTCAGGCTCCGCGGTTTGCATGCTACCTCATAGTGACTCAACTTCTCTTCATATAAACCTATGATATCATCACATCACATGACACCACTCACCTAGACGCCAACTTGTTTTTCTCCTTCCTCGACTGGTTCCTTGCCGATGCTGTGCTCTCACCCAGCGACGTCACTTCATTTATTTTGCGGTTGAGTCGCTTGATCTGCATCCCGATCTGAACCAGTCGTTTGGGGTTAGGCTGGACATCATTGCCATCTCCCTTCCTGGCTTTACCCCCATGGCGGATACCGGCAACTTGGGTGTTGTTGGGGTCAAACACAGGGTCCTCGAAGTTCTTCAGATGGTGAGGATCAGAACTGTCCAGTTCCAGTCTGAGTCTCGTACCCTTAGGTCCCTTTGATTGCACATTGTACTGCCAGAAATACTGTTTCTCCTTCTTCTTGCCGTTACCCATCAGCGACTCCTCAAGGGGAGACAACTGACTGAGCATACCCTCCTCGTCTGAGAGGTCATCATCAAGGTCGGAGTCTCTGTCACTGAACGCATCATTGTCTGAATCCTGATCTTCATTGGACGTCATTGCAGAGCTTCCTGAATCTGATGATTACAAAACATGTTGATAAATACCAATAAAACACTACAGAGGAAAAACTTAGCCAAGCCATAGTAAACCTGTTGTCGATGATTCCCAACAATGTGCTAATTCAACCTATATCCCATATGTAATTAAGAGCATCAGAGAGAGAGAGAATACTTTATACTTGTACCATGTTTACTCTGGCACAGAGCCAAGTATTCAGTCATGCAAATACCATACCAAGTCACTACCTCATTGTATCACTATCAAACAATCATGCTATGAATATATCATAAAAAGTAAAAGGTATCAATGTAATATTATTTCAGTGATAAACATGATAAACAAACACTATTTTCCTTTTTTAATTATAAGTAAAATAAAACATGATATACAGACACATTATAAAAAGGAAAAAAGAAAAAAACATGATACAAATGATTAGTTATCTCCAACATACACTGATGGGTCAACTAGTGATGGATTTCCTTTATGTACCAGCACAGCAACAACTGGATGTTTATGACTGCACGGTGGTGACCTTCACCTTTCTCACAGCACAAACAACATGCTCATTAAAGGCCTTTACAAGGATTAAAGAACCTACTCGCTCAAACATCTTTTTCAAACTCATTCTTTTTGCATAACAAATCTTTAAAATAGGTTTTGTCATTTATTAACCCATGAAATATTCAACATATATATGGTAACAAAATCTACATTTTCCACAATACATTGTACATCCTTTAATGATAAAATATGTTTCAGGACCACAAGTGATCTGTACAAGTAACAGGCTATTTTGATGGTTTTACTATTTTAGGCAAAATTGTATTCTTTATTGAACTGTCTGGGACCAGAGACTATAAAATAGATTCTATTTTATCATGTTTATGGTCTCTGCTGGGACTGAGTGAAGGCAATGGCTGCACCCAGTGTGTTTCATGGGCCCAGCCTGTTGCACAGCACTTTGTACTTTGAACAGTAATACACTCTCAATAACTGATCTTCTTATCCTGTGGATAAAATTAACATTCCAAGGTTGTTCTATCATCATTTTATGTGATGTTTTTTATTCGTTTTGTATGATGTCCTTCAAGCAACTTTGTCATCCAATGTGTCTGATGAAGTCAGGGCCAAACAAGGAAAGGATCTTACTTTCACTTTCAGTAGTTTTCCATCACCATGATCACTGGGATGAAAATGCAAGTTTCTAAGAAAATACTAGGGTATAGAAAGCAGGGTTTTCCTGACGTGATATTTTTGTTTGTGACAGCTAATTTAGCCCTTGTTGACCTAAACTGGGCGGAAATCAGACAAGGCCATAAAACACACATCAACACCAGCTTCCAGTCTTACATCACTGTTCCTTTATGCCAAACAAGCATATTTATCACAGCAACTCAACAGTTGCTTATGATGATAATTTGAAATCATTCTAGTATTTTATCTACATGATAACCTTATCATGATCAAACAAGCCACAAGACAGGGTTGAGATGTTTCAGCCTGCTATGCTACACCCAGGAACATGTCCACCCACAGTCAACTGGACAAATGTCATCAGGCCATTTACTACAGTGTCTAGGGAGGGGGGGTCTGAAGAGAATCATTTGGGCTACACAAAAAAGTGAGGTCATGAATTTCTTTTCATTCATTTTGGGCTTTGTCGTGAAAATTAGGACTCTTATTATATGGTTTAAATATTGTAATTTGAGTGATTATTAACAATCTTTTAGCCATGGATTGTAATGGAGACATGTATTTTGTGGAGGATCATCATCTCTTCATAAGCAAAATGATGGAAAATAACTAATCACTGAGTAGACTCAAAGTACCACTTACCATGCCTGCTCCTCTTGCTCCGTAATGAAGCTGATGCTTTGGAATCCTCAGACTTCTCGTGGATGTATTTCTCAATTTCCTTCCACTTCTCCTCCACATCCTCGTCCCTATTGCCCAGATTGGCAGTCGTTGCCGACCTCTTGACCCTAGTTGGCACCCCTGTTCTGCTGTGAGTCTGCGGCGGCTGTGACGGCATCGATGACTGGGATCTGCTGAGTTGGGATCTGCTGAGTTGGGCCACAGATTTCCGCAACAAAAGTTTGTGAAGTGTGGACTTGTCATCGACTGGAAGGGTACCCGTGACTGTGGACGATGGAACTGTGGACTGGACACTATAGGAGACGTGTGTTGGTGCTGGTTTGTTGACCTTCGTGCTGTCAACTGCCCATGACACTGAGCTCTGAGAATAGGGTGGAGTGAGGTTCATCTGAGAAACACAACTGGTTGCCAACTTTGTCACAGGTTGCTGTAAGTCTGTTGCCCTGGGCACACTTGTGGATTGGGTACAAAGCAAAGATGACAGTGACACATGGTTATCTCCCTTTGAACACAAAGCACTGTTTGTAGCTGTGGCAAACGCAGAATCAGCGTTCACCAAACTGACCACCTCGTCCAGTAGAGATTCATCCATATTCAACTCTGCCAGTGTTGGTCCATTTGACATATCACAATTCTCCATCGACATTTCAGGATCGAACATTTCCGACTTAACCCAGAATTTGCTTGAGGAAGGTGTCCCTGGGTTTCCGACTGAGTCTGGCAGTGACAGATCCAGACTGTTCATCTCATACTGCGGCTTCAAGTCGAAGTCCTCCTTTCCGTGGGAGTAGCCAGAGAGTGACGGACTACACAGAGAGCCGTTGATGGAGTTCTGCATGTCATGCTTCTCCTGTTCATACATGTAGAGAGAGTTTGGACTGGCAGCGTACGCTGCGATGTCGGCAGCAGGGATTGTGTGGTCACTGTCACTGCTAGCCAGGTTGTAGAAGTCAGGACCTGGAATAGTGTCCATACTTCCTTGTAACTTTGCCTGCAAAATAAGAAAAGAGTCTATGAAACATACAATATGTCAAACACATCAATCTGAGACAATTAGTCTTATTGCATGTGCGCACATGACATGCATGTTTCAGGTTTGCAAAGAAACAAATAGAATTGGCAAATTTGTTGATTAAAACTATCAAACAGTAAGTTTTTAAAAACAATGATTAGAAAAATATAGAACTGAATGGTTTAAAATCCACAAAAATGATTATTTTCATCATGTTCATTAAGGCCAAACATTGTCAAATAATGTGTAAAGTGAAGAATCAAATCAAAATGTTTTTTTACAAAAAGTTACTAATAAAAAACAAATGAAACAAACAAATTTAGTCTGAAAGCAATAGAACTGTTATAACACACATGTACTCCCAGCTCAAGCCCCCAGACAAGGAGATGCCCATCCCATGTTTTTCAACAACACACCATATCATTTTCACACATGCCACTGTTACAAAATCACAGAAATCAGTAAGATAAAGCCAACACAACCAATGAACTCTAACACAACAATCAGCACAGTTCATTAATTGACCCCAGAATACCTAAATAGTCAGTTTCCATTTTGAGCCAGCCATGTGATGGTACAGCCATGCTGGCAGCTGAATCCTGGTCCATGAATAGCTATGACATCACAACTCCATGTGTCACTGGCCAAGAAACACTCCTTTAATTTTCTCAGTGCTTATTTGGGTCAGCCTGTCTTCCAGTTCAACCAACCCTGAGGATTATGGGTGACTGACCACAAATATGCAGGTGGCATTTCAAGGACTTTTTCTGAGAAATAATATTTGAAATAACAAGGATGTATTTCATGTAGATATGTGACATAAGTGGAAATAAGGAAGACTTGCTGATCAGTTTGAAGAACTGAGCATTCTCAGGGATTTGTACTCTTGTGGAAATAAATAGGTGAACCTAATGTATGTGTCTGTACTCATGCTACTCGTCAGTGGGGTTCATAAAACAGCAGAGTCAGCAGGTTTGATATGCAATGATTCAAGCTTTAGCAATCAAGCAGGTTCACCACTGATGAGACCGCCTCCGTGGCCTAGTGGTAGAGCATCCGCCCGGAGAGAGGAAAGTTCGAGGTTCGATCCCCGGCCGGGTCATACCAATAGACGTTAAAAGATGGTACTTGTTGTTACCCTGTCTGGCGCTCAGCATTAAGGGGCTAAAACAAGGACTGGTAGGCTCGGAGTCAGTATACTGTGTCTGAGTGGGGTATTCATGTTAAACTGCAGCATGGTATCTCAGTGAGCAAGCACTATAAATCGGCATCAGTCCGGACTAGTAAAGCAGCCACACAAACACACACACAAACACACACACGTACATACACGTCGCTATATAAGTGCAATAATCTTGGACGCGATGTTAAACTCAATATAGCCTCACCTGATCACTGATGTATCAGTTTACGTTATCATACTTTTCAAACATTACATATGATTGCATCATTCAGTCAATATAATATTCTGTTATCATTGGTCTATTTACAGGGTACATTCATCATGATCATACTAAAATTAAACTTATTCTGATTTGTTACATTCATCTATATCATTATTAATTAATTTGTAAGACGACAAATGCCCATCAAAATATGAAATGAAATTACAAATGATTTCTTTTTTAAAAAGCTTAATGATGTTATTGTGTCAAATTTCTGATACATCATGTACATCCTTGCTGCATCATTCCACAAACTACATGTAGAGTTCTACAGGTAAAAAACAGGTACAGAAATATCTGGAGACAAACTACAACTTCGACAGACACTATTCCCACCATGGCCAAAAAACTAAACTTATTGTTCTTGATATTAATGATAAAATTAGTAATAGGTAGCACATGTAGAAGGCAAAAAATCTCAAGATAAATAATTTCCAACAAAAAGTCCAAACAATAATACACAATTTCAAGCAAGTAAAATACTTTTGTTTATCAAGTTTATTTTCATTTTTTCCACATTTGTAAACTTTGAGGAAAATCAGATCACCACTACCTGGGTTTGAACATGTTTATCACTGATGATTGGTTGTCTAACACTTTGTGTACTAGCAGACACTTGGACCTTGACCTTCATGCAGCCTCACACGGCAGTCTGGTCTGAATCATACCTACAGGGCTCCCCACAAAGAAGCTAAGTAAACCTACAGACACTGTCTAGTCCACAGTAGGCCAACAACTTCCTAGTGGCAACCCTGTTCCTGGTTCAAAATGTTGATATAGCCACCAGTTCTCAGAAACACACCTCCTGTTCATTCACTAGAACAGGGCCACATAAGTACACCAACACCAGGATGTTCCACGCCACACTGCTTGTGTCAATGACTCAGCACTTTTGTCTTCCTAGTTCTAATTCCTGTTTGAAAAACACTTTAACTTTGTTTACTCCAAGAATATAAAGTGTTCAATGATCATGATGTCTGTGTTGTACAAAGCAGCACAAACTACCTGATCCTATTGCTCAATAAACACCATTTGTCAAACAGCCTACACTCTTAGCTCCAAATGTCAGATCAAATTACAAGTATTTTGTAAGATAATATTCTGACTTGCTCCATCGTGGGAATGGATTTCACAATTCCCATATAAACCACTGCGATATGAACTAATACCCTTGTAACCAACAAGTACATCAGTTTTGTAACCTTATTGGCAATCCTGTTAAATGTCACCTCTGTGTTTGAAGCAAACATGATGCAGCCAGAGGCAGCCTTGACCTTTCCCCTGTCCAGGCACCAGTCCGTGCTGGGCACCCCCAGCACTGCATCACCCAGACTGGTGCCCCTAGAGGTCGTGTCCCCGGTATGCCCTCCTCAACACTGGGCTGGTCCGAATACCCCTAACATGGTCAAGGCTATTAGGTCATGTAGACCAGCCTAATACTTCATGAGTGAGTGAGTGATTATTGCTTAACCCGGCAATCACAGCGACTATTACTTCATGAACATACTTATCTGTATGTAAACAATGAATTAAGACTGACAGATGTATAGAGAATACTAGATTCTGTTCCAGAAAGTGATTTTAGCACTGAAACTGTTGTATTACAGTCCACGTCATAGTATGGAGTTCTGATCGTCTCAGTCTGAGTGAAACTGGACCCTCTTATTATCAGGTGGACATGATCAATGACTGTCATTTGTCATTATCATATTAGACCTGTGAAGATCCGGGGTAGAATAGGTCTTCAGCAACCCATGCTTGCCGTAAAAGGCTACTATGTTTGTCGTAAGAGGCGACAAACGGGATCGGGTGGTCAGGCTCGCTGAATTGGTTGATGCATGTCATCGCATTCCAATTACGTGGATCGATGCTCATGATGACAATCACTGGATTGTCTGGTCCAGACTCGATTATTTACAGACTACGGTCATATAGCTGGAATATTGCTGAGTGCGGCGTTAAACAACAAACATTATCATATCATATATACTTTTCTTTTTGTTAAATGATAATATCAATGTCAAGGCATCTAATATTACACAAATTCACATAAACATGTAGTTCACTACCACTGATCATCAATTCTCCAGCTATATGATCCAGCATGTCCATGTAAAGTAAGTTCAATATGTAAGTATCTCATATTGGTTGAACTCTTTATTAAACTATAAAACAGCTGATTAAAAAATTTCCTTTAACTGCCTTAAACATGAAATCATTCTTCAGTTCATGTGACAACTTCATGCTGCAGACACGATTGAGTCAACATAGGTGTACTGCCACACACAAACATGTCACCATACTGCCACACACAAGCATGTCACCATACTGCCACACACAAACATGTCGCCAAACTGACACACACAAACATGTCGCCATACTGACACACACAAACATGTCGCCAAACTGCCACACACAAACATGTCGCCATACTGACACACACAAACATGTCACCATAAGACTCCCATTCTTCATCTGTCCATGACGAAAACAACAGAATGCATTTTTCACTGTTTTTATATTGTTCCATGCTATTCTCTGCAATGCATGGTATGTCATCCAGAGCCTTCTGCTCCTAGCAAGCCACAATTCCACAATCGCAATAACTAACCCCTGTCAACAAACACCCACAGTACAACCACATAGTCAAACACATCTACTCACCCTTGGGCCGTGGGGGTCAATCGTCATCGGGAAAGGATTTCTGGGAATCCTTGTAAACCCTCGTCCCACCCCCTGATGAAGACGCCTCTGTGAGAATGTGTGACCGGGGAACTGGCGAACACCAAACTTGGTCCTCACAGGATGGGGGAAAACTTGTGAACTGGAAAAAAACCCATGAAGTTTACAATACAATATGGTACTAGCTATCAGCTTGACTGTTTCTACCCGTCTCGAAACCCTATGTACAGTTTCCTGGCTCACAAATCAGACGGAAAGAATAATGATGATGAATCTAAAATTGTTTGATAGGCATTTCTCAAAAGTTGACACAATAAAGGGATAACAACTTTTTTCTAAATGGTATATTAAAAAAGTAACTATAAATTGTGATGAATCCTGTAGTCCGAAGACTGTACTTTGTACAGCGACTGAGTGTAAGCTAAGTGAATATGTAAGATCACTGTAACTTATACATGATATACAGTCACAAATACACTTCAATTCAAATCATTGGGGTCTACCAAAATTCCCCTAAATAATCTGTACTGAGCAGGCTCTACGTCTTACCACATGTAAAATACATTGACAAGTTACAACAATGGAGGAGAATATATTCATTTACTGCTCTACACTCAAGCAGAGCTTATTCAGGAAGACCTTTATTATTGGGACATTACATGGGTAATTCCCGATCCGATCTATTTATAGAGCTGACTTAGGAAATATTTCAATCACCAGAACAAACACATAATGTACTATGAAATGAGATTTCCCACCCACACAATATCCTCTCAACTGCAGAAAGAATTTATTGATAACTTGACAAAACATATCAAGCAGCCACTCCTCAAGCATTCCGTCCGCAGTGTGAAGCTCGCAGTGTGAAGCTCGGCCTGTTTGTTCGCCCAGCTGATACTGTAGGGGAATCCCCTCATCAGCTGTGGTGGCAGTACACACTGGCCTGTGCTGGATCGGCAGCCAGCAGTGTACAGCCTGCCCATGTTAGCTGAACTTGAGCTATTCACACACACAGAGCGATGACTGGTACACTCGCGCTTACTAATCACCACGGCCCACTGGCTTACGGCAGGAGGGATAGGACGATCTCGTAACTGGCAAAACTGCTACCTAAGACAACAATTTAGCTTGTTCATAATTATATTTTAATTGAAATAATAAACACGATAAACAAATAAACAGAACTTGACTTATTAATACTAATAACATACCACAATGTTTAACCCACAGGATGAAAATAGAGATTTCAACATGATCGAAATAATCATCATAGTGTCTGCCTATAGAAAGGCTTTTTTGAAAGGGCTGTTCCGTTTTATAAAGGGATTTCATGAATAACACTTCTTAGAAAGGAAAGATTTTAATGTTTGATTAGAACTATTATCCACTGTTATATTTCCTGAAGGAAATACTTAAGTCCCCATTGCCCTGCTTCAACATGTTCAAGTGCTATTCACATTATCAGTGCGGCCTTCTTAAGCACTGAACATTCCCATCCCATCAAGTTGATCAACACCTGTGTGATGGAAATCTTCAAGGAGAAAACTTGGTTCGATATGAATGCACAGAATTTCGGTTTCTAAACTGGACTATTATTTTAATATCTTACCACTGAATAACCTACACAACATTGTTCGTAATCGTGATGTTTTTTATCATAATTTAAGAGCTATGTCATGCAATGTAACCACATTGACTGATAAAACTACACAGATAAACGCATTAAGGGATATGATCAATTAACAAATGTGTTGAGTTTTGTCATGAACTTATTGCTCATCTAGACATGGATACTAAGTGTGTCGAGTCCTCTTTGTCCGACTGACACGCTGTGTTGGCCACTAGCCCGTGACTCAAGACTTGAACAATCAGTATCCCCCAACTTGACAAAGTCTGCCTTAGATCACCGGCAACTTCAGACACAACACGTGATTCACGTATCCTGCCCATTCAAAATACAGATAGCAATCTTTACAAAAGCATTCATAATTCCACAACTTCAGTTTTCATACTTTACATCACTGCTAATGGGGTAATTTGGGCGTGATGTTTTGAGGGGGAGGGAACATTCTGGGTGTGGGCAACTTGATGTTGCGAAATGAGGTCACTCTAAACATGAGTCCTATCTGACTGCAGCAAGTCATGTGTGAAATACTGATAAAGCAGATTTTATTTTTGAAGTAATGGCTTTGACAGTGGAAAAGGGTTTCAAAACATTTGAGGTAGCAAGCCTTCCTGTGTCCTAACAAAAGGGCGGGGCAGGGCTTACCACTCCCTTGAGTCCCTCCCAATAATTGATTTAAGAATTCATACTTCCGGGTAATGCAACTCATGTATCTGTGATACAATACATATTTATGACCAACCGAAGGAAGAATAACTTTTGTTTCATAGTTTAAAGATTTCGCCTAAACCATTTTATTTCCTTAGATTAATGATTACAAACAATCTGCATATTCTCAGTCAGAATATTCTTTTTAAATTATAGTTTAAGTTTGACTAAGGTTGTAAGTCTCAAACGATCAAGATCTTTGAAATGCTACAGAAATAAACGTGCAAGTTTAAAAATACATATGAAACTATTCCTGAAAATGACATTTTTCTTAAACAGGTGATTCTGGACGTTCTCACAAACAACTATTTCACAAAAGCCAAATAATACGAGTGCCTGCGTGGGCAGAGTCAAATGGGTGGGCTCAAGGATAAAATATCCCTTACACACACCCATTGCCCATGTGTGGATGAATTCATATCCTGAAGTAGGTCATGCTTGTCACAGATGTTACAGCTGGTGTCTTTGTGGTAAAGAAGCTGAAATAACAGCTATATGATGACCCCAGATTCTATCAGTGCAACACTATTACACTTTGTTCTAGTTTCTATAACATTACAATTAGTTGCCATGCCAATTTGAAACAGTACATCATATGAACAATGTAGGTAAATATAATGTGTTATGATGTTTGTATCACACTATTGTAGTGTAATGTGGAAAATATGCTAATGTCCATGAGTCATTGTACTTTTGATAGTTGCCATGATAACATGTGAGATAAAAAACCCATTTGCTCACACGTGTTCTATTTCTGACAATGATGATTTTAATAAGAAAATAAGTCCTCACATGTTACCAAATAGTATTAAAACCTATGTAATATTAATTACATTAAACTCGGCAATCAAAGGTAGCCTAATAATTATGGGATAATCATATATTAAATAAAAAAATTCCAAATTATTAATATTTTAAAACATGTTAAAGAAGTTGAAAAATGTCGTCTCAGTTCACTAAACAAATTGTTAATCCTGGCTAATTATATAACATATTCAATGACTATAATTTTTTCCCTATTGTATAAAGATAAACCCATACAATCCCACGTGTGACTCATCACAATACTGTGGGATTATTAGTTTAAAATTGAAGAACTACATATTATCGCCCTGACATTCCTTTTCAACAAAACGACAAAACATAAAAATTTGAAATATAAATTTCAACTCCGACAACATCACGAGCATCTGTCAAAATGTGACAGTATGGGCCACGTGGTTTCCTTGCGTGTGACAGTCATGTCGATGATGAGGAGAATCAATGACATACACATACCCTGGCAACTTGCCCATATTGTTGTGTCTTGGTCCCAGATCTCTAGAATTGTTTATCCGAGACAAGTGAGATTTATCCATTCAAAGAAAATCCGCAATTCCGTGAAAAGATCATGTGAATAATTCCCGTTGGATAATCCGCGCGATAATTCGTCAAATCTAGGATAAAATTAGAACCACATCCAAGTTGGAAATCCCAAACGTGTGTCTCCCGACTGATCACTAATGTTGGTAGTGAAATCTATGTCCCTTATTCATACAAGCACCACTGTCGCCCACGGTAAGACGATGTCGACACAACTGACTTCGGGACCGAACTGATTCATCAACTCTATACGGCGCCCATCATAAACTCCCTCGCACCAGTCAACGATGCCAAGGTCAAAGTTCACGAGAACGTAAACAACTTGTCGAGAGGCTGTTGTTTTCCTCGCCATTACGACACTCGACGTGGTGTCTCCCGACAATTCGATGTCTTGACAACATGACAACCCACTCCCTTATCCTATTTACTGTCACTTGATCAGTTAATTTAATCAAAGAAACGGAAGTAGCAAACCACACTTCAGAAATTTCTCTGACGAAATCAGGTTTCCGAAGACCCCATGTAAACAAAATATCTATGCGAGAAATATATCAAAATGAAGCATTCCTACCTTTGTGAGGGTGTTCCTTGATGAAGTAAAATCCCTTGGAACACTAATACAGTCAGTTAGGTAGTTCGTTTATCAACATATAATCCAATTATACGTGTAAAACACTGTGTCCTTCGATGACAACGCTGGTTTGTTTTGGTTCTGAAACGATATGCGGGATGATCACATGCTGTGGTGTAGGTGTTTACGTATTCGCAAGGATAACCAATCAGCGTTCAAGACTCCGCCCATGCGCAACCTGTTGGATGGGAGAACTTGCTAGAAGGATCTTACATAAAACCTCCATTTAGTCCCTTTATCAAGCTTTCCGATCGGTTAAATTACTCTGCAACCATAGTAATGCATTTAAGTGACAAACGGTAAGTTAGAATCTTCAGGTGATTGCTGTACATCCATTATTTTCAGTATGAAAGAAATGGAATCCAAATCATGTCACGAAACTAAAAATAGATCATGACGTATTTGTCACGTGGTCGTGACTCGGGTGAAGGTTGCATCACTTACTGTCATGGAAAATACACGTTGAATTGTTATGATAAAAACTATAGACGTTAAATGTCATGAGTCATCATTACGATTGTTTTTCTGATGAAAGAATGTGATTCAAGCAAGTGTCTGCCTACTGAATTTACCTTCTGAATTAAGATTTAGGCGACACAAATGTTTACATAATATTGACCTAATTTTCCATCGAGAGATTTCTGCAATGAACGGGCAGTAAACATTCTGCAGCGAGGCAGTGGATTGTATTCTTTTCAGTTAGTCCCAAACACGTTTAATGTAGATCATGTCGAGAGAGAAGTAATGTTTCTGTTCAATATTGAGAACTTATTAAACACTTACAGTTTCAGAAAAGTGTCAATATACTACAAAGCTCTGCAAATACACACCAACACAATATACTACTTATATGAAAAATCATAAATTTTCGGACACTAACTTGAAACTTGAACATAGTGCGAATTTTCGAAATGTTCCACGGATCGGATGATATCATTTATCTACCCAGTTTGAACGCTTAATTATATATATAAACTAAAGTTACGAAACTTATTCACCAAATAAAATACTCGGGTAACGAGAAAGTAATATTAATTTAAAGCTTTAAGCAAGAAGGAATAGTCTTTAAGGAACTGCTTTCAAACACAGATACTTACTGACAGGTGTGCTGCTACCCGAGTACTGATGAAAGAATGACATTGCACAATTGACATGAAACGAAACCAAATATAGTCCACGAATGCACGTCCGTCCACGCTGGGCGCCATATATCAATCAGAGGAACAACGGTCTCTACACTGACACACATAGCAGTCTTAACAGTCCTCATTAAAAAATATATATATTTGGTGAGATTTTATTCCAAATATAAGGTATTGTAGATGGTCGAACGTATCAACTGTACAACCATGCACTGACTTGCCGCTTTGTGGTTAACCTCGCTTGAACTTTGCCCCAAGATGGACCAGTATGATGTTCACTTCTATAAATTGTTGTGTTGTTGAATTGGTTATTTTAGTAGTTTACTGACCTATTCTCAACATTATTTTTCTATACAGCGATATTTATAACAATATCCAACTTCTCGTTGTGATCTGACAAGAGCAGAGGAAAACCCACACGTCAGCATCACTGTGTGGGAGATGTTGTTTTATACCAGAAGTCTATGTTCTTATAAAGAGAGTCAGTGAGTGTGGTTTTATGCCGCTTTTAGCAATATTCCAGAAATATCACGACGGGGGACGCCAGCAATGGGCTTCACAAATTGTACCCGTATCGGGAATCGAACCCGTGTCTTCGTCGGGACGAGCGAACGCTTTAACCACTAGGCTACCCCACCGCCCCTTGTTATATATAGATACAGATCGATTGATATGTGATCTATTCTGCATCAATACTGACAATTTCTCTAAATGCACCATATGCATATTTGCATTTATATGGGTTCAATCTTTTATACTCAATTTGGACATGGTCAGCCATGAGTGGGTGTCTAGAATGGTTTGGTAAGTCTAGATTGCCTCAGCTGAAATTAAAAATAATAATTAAGAATTGTTCTGGGCTCCATTTGTATATTTAAGAAATAAACGACAAGTGGGAGTTGTTTATTATACGATGAAACACTGCAGGGAGAATAAACCACGAGGAACAGAGCAGTCATCCTTGTGTCGACCTGCATGTTAAACAACGAGTGTGGACAAGGTAATCCAGTGGTTGATAGCATGAACAACGATAAACGCATTTGGTCAGGTAACACAGGGACTAATGTATTAAGGTGTATATACATGGAATGTGCTTCATGCCTGATGTTCTAGTGTGTTGATTGTTGACGAAAAAAACATGTTTGACGTCACGTCATGTCAGAACATTGTTATACGAACTGAAGATGACATAGTCATTGCGCATTGTAGAACCTAAACATGGCTGCTGGTACTGAAGGCTATTGGTAATAAATACACTAACCCAGTCACAACCTATTACGGGGTATCTGTCCCTAGTGCTTACACCAGCAATATTCAGGCTTTTTGACGGCGGTCCCATCCGTCGTCTATGCTCGTCGTAAGAGGCACCTAACGGGATCGGGTGGTCAGGCTCGCTGACTTGGTTGATGCATGACATCTATACCATATTGCGTTGATCAATGCTCACGTACGGTATTAATAACTTGATCGTCTGGTCCAGACTCGATTATTCACAGACAGCCGTCATATAGCTGAAATTTTGCTGAGTGTGGCGTTACACAACCAACCAACCAATCTTACGACAAACATAGTCGCCTTTTACGGCAAGCATGGGTTGCTGAAGATCTATTCCTCCCCGGATCTTCAGGGGTCGGGGGTATTGGAGGTGAGTATGTTCTGCAATCGGATGTTTTTGGATATGAAAGTAAGCTGTTATACATGCCACCAGTAAGATTGAAATGGGCCTATGTGTTACTTGTTTACAAATCATATTTCTATTACATCTATAATTCATTAATTTATGGTGTAATGAAAATCAGAAATTGCATTCAAAAGTGTTGACATTCTGTGGGAATACTATAGGATGGTATCGTTGTTCAAGAAGTACGTCACACTGGAAGTGGCGGCAGACGGGATTGTGTCTGACGAAATTCATATACCAACTGCGTCTCAAATCAAGGTTGTGGTATGGAGATATTATAGAAGTTGATGAATTGCTGCCCTCATCTCTCTTTCCGACTGAGACGCGATTACAATCTCGTGGTGTTCAGTTGAACTTTAGCAATTGCTTATTGAAAGACTTGGTTGTTTTAGGACCTACTAGTACTACAGTCATTCATGATTCAGCTGCGTCACGACAACCACGCATTCTAAATAAATTAGCGACTGGAACCCCATCCACATCGTCGGAGCAGGATACTACACTAATACAACCAGCCCACTGTTAAAAAAACCAGCCAGTATGTCTGTTTTTGCCCAATGTATTAAAACGATAACGACCCTTGTGCTAGCTTTAGCCCCATACTTTCCAATACGACATTGATATCCCCCCCCCGTCCCCCAAACCCCACCCCCTAACCCACCCCAAACCACCCACCCACGCGCGCGCACACCTCTCTCTCGTCTGCAAATAGCGCATTGACCTCAACGTGAACATCACATGGGTGAAACTCGGCAATGTCGCTATTTACGAGCACGATACGAGTGCTACTTCACAGGAGGAAGTTACATCCAGATAACTTGTTCCTATTGTTGAAAAACGTCGTCACAATTGAACAATCGAGTGACGTTGATATGACGCCATGAACATGCCAGTGACGTCATTATAATGTCATGTTTTTTACCCTGTTTCACAAGGCAACCGTAGGACCACAACTACCGTAAACCTATGTTGAGGTATGGGCGTTGCTACGATCGCTTCGTGATACGAGGTCCTGGGCCTCTTCTATAAAACGACCGTAGCGCTAAGGTGATCGTAACTCCCATACTTTAACATAGACTTACTGAAGTTGTGGTCCTACGGCCGTCTTGTGGAACGGGGCCCTGGTGAGGTTTCTCTTCTGGTGAATGATTCGCAAAAGTTTTGCTTCCATTCATGCAGATATATTCTGCTGCAGTAAAAGCAAAATGTGACTGCATATTTAGATAATTTAACTATACACTCTTTCGTCTGGCGTGTATTTCAAAGTTATTAACGAAATATAATATTTTAGTGGACACCTTACAAATTTACTGACTAAAGGTGATTCGGAAAACCCGTTCGCGACGTTTTCACTGACTAAGCTGAAAAATGTATGACTACTGACAAAAGGCCCCTCATTTACCGAGTGCTGACATGTTACACCCCCCATCACGATCCTCGTACATGGGATACCATGTTGACCGATAAGGCACGCAAAATCTACATAAAAACGTCCTGGAAATAACACAATTTCACTCGCAAAGGGCTATAAAATCTTTTTTTTAATTGTTCTTCTAGGCTTCACTATGCTACCAATACAACCAACACTTTTAAAACTTTGTGACGACATAAATAATTGGATTACGTCACTGAAAGGGATAGTTTTAGTGAATATTTTCTCGCGTTATTCCTTTAAATAACGTGTGAAATAAACAGGAAAGTTAAAACTTGTTAATTTGTAATTTCACAATATTTTATCTCTTTCTTAATTCTGCATGCAAACAAAAGTTTCGATAACGATCAGTAT